CATCGTCAGCATCGGCAGCAGCATCAGCATCAGCATCAGCATCAGCATCGGCATCATCATCATCATCCCCATCATCATCATCAGCTTCATCATCATCATCATCATCATCATCATCATCATCATCATCATCATCATCATCCATATACTCATCGTCTTCGCGCGGACACTCATACATTCATCTGAAGGAAACGCCGAACGGGAGCCCCGTCAGTGGGTAAAATGCGAGGCCGTCTCAGGCGGGAGCCCCCCTTCCCTTTGGGGCCCGCAGATCATGCTACTAATCCGAACGGGTCATCCGAATCTTTTAACTATCGTCACTTTCGGGCCCCTGAGCCATGAATCTGGAGCAAGTCTCGTGCGGGAGCCTCGTCCGTGAGTGTAATCCGAGAAGGTTTCAGGCGGGAGCCCCCCTCCCTATGGGGCCCGCAGATCATGTTACTAATCCGAGTGGGTCATCCGAATCCTGTAACTGTCGTCGCTCTCGGGCACCTGAGCCTTGAATCTGGGGGAAGCCTCGTGCGGAAACCTCGCCTGTGAGTGAAATGCGCAGAAGTCTCACGTGGCCCCCCCCCTATCGGACCCGAAGATCATCTTGCTAATCCGAGCGGGTCATCCGAATCCTGTACAGTGGGAGCTCGACCACACGAAACCTCCTACAAGAAACCTAACCCTGGAACCCCTGGACATCCATGGACCTCCACGTCACGCTTGGAACACCAAGTGTTGGAATGTCCCGCTTTCCATTGGCAAAGCATCGAAATCCAGGAAACCCGTGGCACCCTGGAGGCACCAAGGGTGCTTTTTGGCATGGGTGCCCACTGTACCCGTCGTCCCTCTCGGGCCTGCGCCAGGGCGAGAAGGAGAACGACAGACACATGCAGTCGGGCCGCTGAAAGAAGGAACGCTAAATGAGGAACGAAGCCCCTTCTTGGCCCTGTAAGCGCCTCCGTGCCCCAGGAGGGCAAGAGGAACAGCACTGGAGAAACCTAAGGAACATCGAGCCCCTTCCGAACCCCAACTGTTCCTTATGTCAGCGTCTTGACCGCAGGAGACAGGAAAAGCACCTGGCCAGTCGCGAAGACAGGCATTCCCAGATTGGCCGCGAGGATCCCCGTGCAGGGCCCTGCAGCCGGAGCAACCTGGTCGACTGCGTCCAGAGACGAGGCCGGAGCACGGCAAGAGCAAGCGCGTGCGGACCTTCGGCCCAGGGGATACGTCGACCCCTGTCCCAGGCTTTGGGTTTTTTTTTCGCATGGACCAAACACTCTGGGCCCCAACCCTTGGATGTGCGAGGAGGGGCGCCCATCCTCGATGGGGGTGCGTCCGCACAGCCCTCTGGGGGTCTATCCCAGGGTTCCCCCCCTTTGCTCGGCCGCTCCACTTTTCGTCGAAAACTCCGGCGGCGGGATAGAAACGTCACCTGCGATATTGCAAAACGAACCGTCAGAGCGTCAGAGTCAGGGGCTCGTTCTTGGGACCTTCCTGGAGCCACTCGCTCCACTCGTGCGTCGATGCTGCCCCGAACGTCCGCCGGCTTGGGTCGACCTTGAATCGATTTGGGTCGAGCTTGAACCAACCTGGGGTAGAAGTAGCGTCGAAGTTCGTTCGACCCAGAATCGAACGGATCCGTCAGGCGGGCCCGAGGAAGCTGGAGGCGGCCGTGGGGTCTGCAGTGGCAGGATCCCACGGAATCGGTCCAGAAGGAGGGTGAAGCCCACCCTGTTCAGAATCTGTCCCTGAGTCACCTTTGGAGGGCACCAACTATACACCAACACCGATCCTGGCCCAGGATTGGGCAGGGTGCAGAGGGCCAGATCGGCCTGACATAGCGTGGGCCTTCCTCCCGAAGGAGGGCCAGAAACGGAAGCGGAGGAGGGGGGAGAAGGAGGGAGGGGAGAAGGGGGAGGGAGAAGTCGAGAATGAAAGGAAGAGGAGCCAGAGGGAGGAGAGAGAGCGAAAGAGGGAGATCCCAGCGGTTGCTGCTGCGGTTGCAGTTGCGGTTGCGGTTGCGTTTGTTGCAGTTGCGGTTGCGCCCTTCAGCACGAACTTCGCCATCTGGCGGGCAGGGGGGGGGGGGAGGGGCGAGATGATATAGGCCGAGAGGCAGGGGGCGAGGGGGTGAGAGGGCAAGAGGGAAGGCCAGGGGGCGAGGGGGCGAGGGCAAGGAGGAGGAGAGGAGGAGGGGGAGGCAGAGGCTGGTATGCTATGCTAACGCAAAATGGTTGCGCATATTTGCATCCTTGCTCGGGCGCCCGCGGGTCGTGCATTCAGACGCCCTTACCTGAGCCCCGAGGCACCAGAGGTCCCAGATTCCCAAGAGACTCCCCAGAGGTCCCAGAGGTTTCCCCAGAGGTCCCAGAGAGATGGGAGATGTAGGTCTGATTCCTCGGGATGTGCGCCAGGGCTTCCTCAGGAACGAGCCGAACAAGCTTAGGGCCAAGCCCATTCGCTGGTTGATCCGTTGATCCGTCACCATTTTGGCTCAAACTTGCGTTAGGGGCGCGCGCCGCTCGCGATGCCCCAGGCGCCAGCGCGCCTGCGGGCTTGCGATGCCCCAGGCGCCAGCGCGGACGGCCGCGGCCAATCCCGACGCGCCCGCAGACGAGCGCGTGGCCATGCGCCGCTGGATGCGCGCGGATCGCCTCGCAGCGGCGTTGTGGGATGTGCACGACAACGCGAGGGAAGAGGAGGCTCGGCGACTCGATCGGGTCGCAACTCGGCTCTGGGGGTTCAGCAGTGACGAGGACGGCGGCGACGAGAGCGGCAGGCGCGGCAGCAGCGCGGGTCGGCGCCGAGTGCGCCCTCGGCGCGCGCTGGCTGCAGCGGCGAGTGCGACGGCTGCGACGGCCCGTCGTGCGACGGCGGCGGCTACGACGGCCAGAGCGACGGCTGCGGCCAGTCCGGCCAGTCCGACGGCTGCGACGGCCAGCGCGGCGGCGGCGATTGCCGCGGTGGCGGCAGCAGCGACGACTGCGACGGCCAGCGCGGCAGCTGCGACGCCGAGTGCGACGGCTGCGACGCCAAGTGCGACGGCTGTGACGGCCAGTGCGACGGCTGCGGCTCCGACGCCCAGTGCGACGGCTGCGACGCCGAGTGCGACGGCTGCGACGCCCAGCGCGGCGGCTGCGACGGCCTGTGCGACGGCTGCGACGGCCAGCGCGACGGCTGCGACGGCCAGTGCGACGGCGACGGCTGCGACGCCCAGTGCGGCGGCTGCGACGGCCAGTGCGACGGCTGCGACGCCATGCGCGACGGCTGCGACGCTCTGCGCGGCGGCTGCGACGCCCATTGCGGCGGCTGCGACGCCAAGTGCGACGCCCAGTGCGACGGCCAGTGCGACGGCTGCGACGCCCAGTGCAGCGGGCGCGACGGCTGCGACAGCTGCGACGGCTGCGACAGCTGCGACGGCTGCGACGGCCGCGGGGGCCGCATGGCCGCCGCTGGCGCGGCCGGGCGCGCTCGGCGGGCAGCCGTGGCGCGGGAGGCCGCCCCCGGGGGGGGTTGCGGTGGGACATCGCGCGGGAGGAGGCCGAGATGGTGCTGGGCGAGGCCGAGAGGACGCTGTGCGACGCGGTGGTCATCCTGCGCCCCTGCCTCGACGTCTCCGTGGAGACGCTGGCCCAGCGAACGACCTGGAGCCTGGAGCGCGCCCGGGCGAGCGGCGACGGCAGCGGCGGCAGCGCCTACATCGGCTCGACGTCGTGCCCGTCCTGGCGGTGGAGAGGCGGGCCGAGCTGGCGGGGGGGCGCTCAGACCCCTGAGTACATGCCAGGCCATGTCCGCCGTTGGCGGTGCATGGTCGCCATCGGGGGGTTCCCCGACCGCGTCACCAGGGAAGCGGAGGCCACGGCGTTGCAGGTGGGCGTCGGGAGCGGGCAGCTCCTCAACCGTGCGTTGGATGCGCGGGGCTTGGGCGTGCGCTCCCATGCATACTCATACGTGTATGTACGCATGAATTTGAGACGGTAGAATTCATGATAAACGTCAGCAGAGTGATGGAGGGAGGGATGGGGGGGAGGGAGGGAGGGAGGGAGGGGGGGAGTGGGAAGAGGTGAGAAAGGGAGGGAGGGATGAGGGAGGGAGGGAGGGAGGTGGGTAGGAACAGGGGGCGGAGGAGGGAGTGAGGAAGGGGTCGCTCCACCTCCATTCCCCGCTCCTCTTCCTCCCCCGCTCCTCTCCCCCCCCCCCCTCCCCCGCCCCTATCCGCCCCCTGTTGTCCTCGTCTATCCCTTGCTCCGTTCTCGCCTCGCTCGCAATCTCACCATAGCATATCATAAAGTCGCATAGCATAACATAGCATAGCATGGCCCTTGGGACCTCGGCTAAGCATAACATAGCATAGCATGGCCCTCGTGACCTTGGCCCTTGGGGCCTCGATATCATAAAGTAGCATAGCATGGCACAGCATAGCACGCCCCTCCTCCCCTCCTCTTCCTTCTCGCCGTTTCTGCTCAAATTGCAGCGAGCCGTCCCGATCGGCTCGCCGACAGTGGCCTTCGCGGCCCCCCGGGCGCCCGGGCGCTCGCCCGAGGCGCCTCGCCCGCGAGCGCGCGCGCCCGCCGAGAGCCAGGGGGAGGGGCTTCGTCGTCGCCGTCCCCAGGTCGTCGTTGCCATCGTCATCGTCGCCATCGTCGCCCTCCTCCTCCCCTCTCCTCCTCCTCCTCCTCCTCCTCCTCCTCCTCCTGCCTCCTCCTCCTCCTCCTCCTCCCCTCCTCCTCCTCCTCCTCCTCCATCCTCCTCCTCCTCCGCTCCTTCCCTCCTCGCCCGCCCCCCATCCCCCCTCGGCACTCTCTCCTCATCGCCTCATCGCCTCATCGCCTCCTCCGCCCCTCCCCCCTCCCCCTCCTGATCTCCTGATCTCCTCGCCTTCATCGTCCCGCCATCCCCATGCCCTCCTCACCCCCCGTCCATCCTCTCTGATCACCCTTATCCTCCTCTTCCTCCTGATCCTCGGACGCAGTTGCCCCCTCCTGGGCTCTCGGCCCCCCGCGCGGCGCCCTTCAGCGACTAGCGAAGCCGCGGCTGTTCATCTCCTTCTTCGTGCGCTTCGCTTTGACCCCGTCGTCCCACTCGGGAACCCTGGCCCTGAAGCACTTCGAGAGCTTCTCGGGATCCTCCCCCTTCGCCCTGCGCTCCTCCAAGATCTTCTTCTCGGCCTGCGAGCGCGCGTGGGGGGGCGGAGGGGGATCCCCTCAGCGATTCCCCGTCAACCTCTCAGCCTCTCAGCTCCCCCTCTTCCTCCGACTCCCCCGATCCCCATCCTCCTTCCCGACTCCTCTGGCTCGCCCGTCCTCCACCTCCTGCTCCGTCTCCTCGTCCTCCACTGTCCCCCCTCTCTCCCCAATTCCCGCCATACTTCCTCCATCCCCCATTTACCTCTCCCCCCATCCCGCCTCGTCTAGCTTAGCCCGCCCAGCTCGTGCCTTCGTGTGTGGCCTCTCTCACTCGACCCTACCCCATCCCCAATCACCCTCTGTGCCCCGTAGCTCTTGCCACTCCTGCTCGCCTGCCCCCGCCCGCCGCAGCTCGCCGCCTCGGATAGAACGTGGTCGACGAGATGCGGCACGGCGATCTCGATCTTGTCCACCTGAGGCGCGCCCACCTCCACCTCGCACTTGACCCACTTCAGGTCGTGAGTCGGGATGATCTCCACCTGCGCGAGGGGGGCTAGGGTGAAGCGCTTGGAGACGCGCGGCAGATGGGTCGAGGCGGATAGAAACGACGACGATGGCGTGGATGGGGTAGAAGCACAGGAGCGGACAGTGAGGAGGCCAGGGGAGGAGACGAGGGAAGAGAAACAGACGGCGGGAGAAAGCGCGTGGGAAAGTGAGCAGGCAAGGGGGCAAGGAGAGAGGCAAGGGGGCAAAGGGGGAAAAGGGGAGAGCGACGACACAGGCCACCCGACTGCTTAGGGGCAGCAGCGCAGTGCGGGCCTTCTTCTTGCCCTTCTTCTTGTTCTTCTTGTTGCCCTCCTCCTCCTCTTCCTGGTCCTCCTGAGGCGGCCCGTGCCCGCTAAATCCGTGCGCTCCTATGCTTAGCTCTGCTTGCCGTCGCCTCGCTCGATCGCGCACTCAACATCGAATCCACATCGGCCCATTCCCTTCTCATATCTCTCTCTCTCTCTCTCTCTCTCTCTCTCTCTCTCTCTCTCCTTTAATCCCCCGACTCCTCCTCCCCCGAACCGCCGCCCCACAAGTGTGGGGCCCCGCCCGCCGCCCCGCAAATGTGGGGCTACCCCACCCCACTGGGGGGAGGCCTCCCCCCGCGTGCGACGCCCACGGCTCGGGGGCGGGCGGGCGGTGCCAAGTGGCATGCATGTGCCTCCCCCGCCTCCTCCTTTGAACTCTCTCTCTCTCTCTCTCTCTCTACCTCTCTCTCTCTCTACCTCTCTCTCTCTCTCTCTCTCT